GTATGGTGTGGTAGAGTCAAATTGTTAGCAGACCAGGGGGGATCAACCCTGTCTCTAGTATTTCCACATGGGAAATCAGGTTTTCACGGAGCTCTCCTGGGAGGTCACCTTAGCTCTTTGCCACTGTGGCACATGGCAAAGGGAACCCATGCAGAAGTGGATTGATACAGATCCCTGGCCAACCAGCTTGGTGCTGGTAAGTCAAAGTCTTTGTGTGCTGATACTGGTGATCTGTGATACTATGGGAAGTTATTTACTAGCAGGACGTTAGTATAAAAATGTGCCTGAAATAAGTGCCAGCTGTTAAAGAATAGGATTTATAGATGGTATCATCACTACTGATGGCATGCATCTACCTACAGTCCATCTTCCAAAAAGAAGGCTGATGGGATTAGTCGGAGCAGGTACTTCCCTGTCCCTCTAGCCTCTAATAGAGCAACTAGCAATGCAGAAAGCATTGAACTGGTGGAGATACGGCTCTCACACGCTTGGGGAAGCTGGGACTTTCCCTCCATTTTCTTCCCTCCCAAAGACACTGCTAACATGGGGTTCCAGGTGCCCATTGCTCTGGAGTGCTCTGTCCCACGCACCTAGTTTTATTCTCAATGCTGGGCAACACAGACCAAGCATTTACTCCCTCTGTGGTTGCAGAATGATTGTGTTGTAGGCATTTGGCAGACTGAAGGCAAGGAGAAGCTGCGTCCCCTGGTAGTTGGATGCTAATTTTGCCAAGTGTCCTGGATGTGCCGTAGCCTGCTGTGCTCTGTGCAGCAGCTATGAAGCCAGAGGCAGCTGCTTTAGTATGAGGTGGACCCAGAACTGTGATGGACTTCTTAGACTTCTGCACAACCAGAAAAAACTGCGTAATCGATATGAGGCCTTGTTCAAGGGAAGCCCATGAAATCATGGATGCCACATGTGCTCCTTCCTAGGACTCATGCTGTGATTTTAATGAATAATCAATAGCCAAGGCCTGTGCTGCTTTGTGGAAAGAGAAATACTGGGGAATATGTTGCACTAATAAGTTACAGGGTTCAAAAGCACATGGTGTGCTTGTGTTTTTAAATTTCTGGGGTGAGAGGACTGCAAATCCTATGGCATATTTTGCGCCCGATTAATTTTATGGACTTTATTGGGTAAGTGTTGATTTATTTGCTGCATAAAATATCAATTTAAATGTAACTCTCTGTGCTTGCTACTTTGTGGGCATGGGGTGCCATTTTATTGGCTTGTGCAGATAGCTCACTGAATTTTTTTATTCTTTAATAAAACTTTCAGCAGAGCTGCGGTTTTGCTTTTCCTTGTGAGTGTGTCAGCAGCAAGTGCTCTAGCGCAGCAGCTCACAAACAGCTAGAAAGAAAAGAGCTTATGAAAAGCACTGTCAAATCCACCAACCTTTCAGAAGGTAAACACAGCTGAGCAGAATCATACCTTGCCTGGCAGCCACAGCCCCTTACAAAGCTAAAGGCCAAAACAGTAAAGAGAGAAGCAGCTGCAATGGCAGAGGCAAGAATGTGCATGAATCTGGTTTCCCTTATGATAGGGACAGGTTCCAAGTGCACTCACAGGCACTTACTGTGGTCCAGCTAAAAATTGTTAATTTGGAGTAACTTAATTGCTCTAAATCATGTGCCCATAGTTCTCGATGTTTACCAGAGTACCAATGAAATCCTCATCAGTTTTCTTCTGTCGCAAATAGCTCAACATTTTTCTGCTAAAGAAAACCCATTAAAAACAATAGACCCAGAGCAAGGGAACTGCTTGCTCATCGAAACAGAGATAAATCATAGAATCATAGGATGTCCTGAGTTGGAAGGGACCCACAAGGATCATTGAGTCCAACTCCTGTCTCTGCATAGGACAACCCCAAAATTCACACCATATGCCTGAGGGCATTGTCTAAATGCTTCTTGAATATTGTCAGGCTTGGCGCTGTGACTACCTCCCAGGGAAGCCTGTTCCAGTGCTCCACCACCCTCTGGGTGAAGAACCTTTTCCTAATATTCAGCCTAGACCTTCCCTGCCATATCTTCCTGCCATTCCCTCGGGTTCTATCATTGGTCGCCAGGGAGAAGAGATCAGTGCCTGCCCCTCCACTTCCCCTTGTCAGGAAGCCGTAGACCGCGATGAGGTCTCCCCGCAGTCTCCTCTTCTCCAGGGTGAACAGACCAAGTGACTTCAGCCACTCCTCATAAGGCTTCCCTTCTAAACCCTTCACCATCTTTGTGGCTCTCCTCTGGACACTCTCTAGTAGCCTCGTATCCTTTTTATACTGTGGCGCCCAAAACTGCACAGAGTACTCAAGAAGAGGCTGCACCAGCGCAGAATAGAGCGGGACTGTCACCTCCCTCGGCCGGTTACCAATACAGTGCTTGATGCACCCTAGGACACGGTTGGCCCTCCTGGCTGCCAGGGCACACTGTTGGCTCATGTTCAACTTGCTGTTGACCAGAACGCCCAGATCCCTCTCCATGGGGCCGCTCTTCAGCCTCTCGTTCCCCAGTCTGTATGTACACCCAGGGTTGCCATGTCCCAGGTGCAAAATCCGGTACTTGCTCTTGTTAAACTTCATATGGCTGGTGATTGCCCAGCTCTGTAATTTGTCTAGATCTCTCTGCAGAGCCTCTCTGCCCTCAAGAGCGTCAACAGCTCCTCCCAATTTTGTGTCATCAGCAACCTTAGATAGTAATCCTTCAAGTCCTGCATCCAAGTAATTTATGAAGACATTAAAGAGCACTGGCCCTAAGATGGATCCCCATTCCCCTTAGGGCGGGACCCCACTAGTGACTGATTGACAGCCCGATGTATCCCCATTTACTATAACCCTTTGAGTCCAACCCGTCAGCCAATTGCTCACCCATTGCATTATGTGTTTATCCAGCTGTATGCTGGACATTTTGTCCAGGAGGATACTG